AGTAAATAACAAGAAAAGAAAGAGGGGAAAATAAAGCTTCGAACAAGTTCAGAGAGATGAGAACGTAACACTAGAGACTTTATTCTTAATGCTGGGGGATAAGACTTTTCTCTGCGTCTAGTGTCTCAACAAGTAATTTGATGTGAGTCTTCATCTTGATTCGTTTTTCAATCAGAATCCAAGTAAATACTCGACTTTTCGAGGGAAGGCAAAAAAAGAAGACGAAGACGAAGAAGCCATCAAAATCTACTTTCTCAAGTATAGTAGAATTTATCATTAAACATTAGAATAATTATATTTTAGTTTTAATTTTTATTATTTAAAATAATAATATTATTAATTATACTATTATAAATAATTATTTATTAAAATAAAAATTTTATGAGAATTTTTTTTTCTTGATTTGATTATTAGTTTTGAAAAATTTTATTTCTATTTCTATTTTGGATTCGAAATAATTCGTAAAAAAAAGTTCAATTTCACGAATTTGATCTTGCGAGCAAATGTTGAAAAGATGAAAATTGATTTTTATTGCGATAGAAGAAGAAGAATAAGAAGGAGGAATGGGAAATTTGCACGTAGACCAAAAGTCCATATGAGAAATGACAAAGGTCATTTCATCGAGCAGACCTCTGAACCATAAAAGGTGGAATATGTTCTCAAAAGCGAATGTAATATTTTATGCTGCTGAGCAGGTGAAACGAGATCCATTTGAGATCTTCTCATTCTACCCACGGTGTATATATACGTATCTTCATTGTAATTCTCCATGTTCTATTTTCTGTGGCGCGGCTTAGATAATTCGTATATATATATATATATAGTGAATCCAAAACAAAGTTTATTTTGAATCAACCACAAGGAAAGTGTACTAATAGGGTCTCTCCGCACAGGTATGAAACTTCAACTGCATCTACCTTTAGATTCTATATAAATCGTGCGAGACAGAAAAGAAGGGGGGCATCACGTAATTGTCACCAGTTGTGTGACCTTTCACATCACTATCTAACTCGACCTTTACTTTGTCGAATTTCTATATACAATTCAGAGTCACGCTTCGAGTATTCGGAAGCTAATTTAATTCTCACTTTCTTTCTCCAAACTTTCCCTCTTTTTTTTTCTTAAACGAAAAATCGAAATTATATAATTTTTAACCAATAATAATAATAATTTTATACCAATAGGAAATTGTCCTATCAGGGCCCTAGTAGGGAATGAAACGCTAATCAGGGCCACATCAGGCGCGCCTATTTCCTAACAGGGTAGCCTGATTGGGCCCCGATTTGGACCCTGGCAAAATTTCTGCACGGGTAATACTATTGCCTCATACAGAAATTCGCCAACCTGGCTCTGATCTGGTTGAAACAGGGAACCGGGGCCAAACCAGGTCCTGGTCGGGCGCCGATTTTAATCGGGCTGAAATAGGGCTTTTTCTGTGGCCCCAATTTCATGCAATTGCGTTTCATGCAAATTTAGAGCTTCCTGACGTGAGCCCTGTCAGGGCCCTTTTAAAATTTCTGCCATTGATACAACAATTCCCAAGAAGCACGTAATATAACCTCAATATCAAGGTAATATTACATATAATATTCGTAATATAACGTTTTAATATTACAGTAATCTTACAGTGATCTTAAAATGTCCGCCTCAAGGTAATATTACCGGTAATGTTACTGTAATATTACGCGCTAATATTAAGGTAATATTACAGTAATATTGCAGTAATATTATATCGTAATATTAAGGTAATATTACAAGAGAATATTACAGTAATATTATGGGAACATTTCTTTACGAAAAAAATCTACCCATCCAGGGAATCGAACCTCGAACTCAAAGCACACGAGTCCAGAGTTTTACCAACAAGCCAAATTCACTTATAATATATTTACGTTTTTTATGCTTTATGAATAACTCAAATCAGTCTGTAATATTACTGTAATATTACTGTAATATTACTGTAATATTACTGTAATATTACTGTAATATTACTGTAATATTACTGTAATATTACCGTTAATATTACAGTAATATTTCCGGTAATATTACCTTGAGGCGGACATTTTAAGATCACTGTAAGATTACTGTAATATTACAGCGTTATATTACGAATCTCACGTGTAATATTACCTTGATATTGAGGATATATTACGTGCTTCTTGGGTTGTAATAGTTTTTTTTTCCAATTGTGTCTATCTTCTTCTTACCAATTTTCTTTTTGGAGGAATTTATATATATATATATAAATTCCTCCTAATTTGTAGGCTTCAAAACGTGCACCTCCTTAATTCCTGTAACTCGTGCAAAGCGTACTACTTTTGAGGAAATTTACTCGTGACTCTCACGAACACGTCAATACTCAAACGTAAACCTACATTCCACATACACACATCTACAAAAGGCAATGCTTGGATAAGGTTAATTGTGGACTGTCTATAGAGTTTGAATGGGAGGTAAATTTAAGGAGGTTGAATTCCAAAGCTTCCGTATGCCGCTTGCGTTTAGAATGTTTGTTTAGTCTCATGAGTATTTCGAAAGGTTATACATACTAATACAAACTGTTAACTGTGGGAAGAGAAAAAAAAAAGGTTTTAATACACTAAACTTTAACGGAATTTAAATCAAAACAAAAAAACTACTAACTAGAATTAATTATTTTTCTAATAATATTCAGAGTCTTATAAAAAATGTGATCAGAATTACAAAAATGTGACTATTTCTCGTGTAGAAATTTTGCCAGGGCTCAGATCGGGGCCGGATCAGGCTGCCCTATTAGGGAATAGACGCGCCTGATGTGGCCCTGATTAGCGTTTCATTCCCTGGTAGGGCAATTTCTACAGGGAATTGTGTGGAAAAAAACATTTTTTCTGCGCCAGAGAACGAGACCAAAGTTTTCTTTTGATTTTCAGTTACAGGAATTAATTTTTTTTTTTTGCGAATTCGAGTATATTTAGCTTTTTGTCATCGTTTACTTGAAATTCTTCATCTATAGACGGAAACAAGGGTATCAATGAGCCAGACAAATATTTTGAGAACATTGTTTTATTTTTCGATTCAAGTGGTGTGTGGCATTTACAAAAAGAGAAATGTAACATGAAAAGAAAAAAAGTACGGACGAAATTCGCGCACGATTTATCCTAGAATAGTTTTGCGTATACTTTGGGGTTTTTTGTGTGTAAAACGAAAGTCGCGCGCTCTCTTTCTCTCTCTCTCTCTCTCTTTCTCACTGTAACATTTTTTTTTTTTTTTTTTTTTCAAATTGCGTGTGTATTTCATCCAGGGGGCAGCCGCACACAAAAGATATAATAACACGTGCGTTAAACCTAAACAACGTCGGAATGGGTGCACTTGGCAAGAATCATCATTGCGCTTGAAAATGGTTCACTAAAAGGGAAAACGTGCTGGAATACTTTTCTCTCTTCGGTCGAGCACCATCCCGTGTCTACGCTCTCTCTCTCTCGTTCTCTCTCGCTCTTATTCATATATATATACGTATTTTGGTATCCATATGGAACCGGCAGCGAGAGCTTTATCGCCCGTTTAATAAAAATAGAAGGGGCCAGACCGCGAATGAGAAACGGTACGTTCGTGCCGACCGTTGATAGTCTCTCTCTTCTTGGAATTTCTAGTTTGATTTCTCTTCTCCCTCGGAAATACAGACGCACGTATCTCATTGCAAAATATGCAACATCGCCACACGTCTCGACGTTGTTTTTTTTTCTTTTTTTTTTTTAATCTCATGCAGCTGATACATGGCTAAAAATCATTCGCGCTTCAATGTTGAGCCCATTTGAAAATATATACATATATATATCACAGTAAAAATGAATACCTTCAATCGTTGTACACCAGCAAATGTCACACAATCATTTTTTTTTTTTTTAATTAATTATATAAAATCAAGTTTTTACTTATAAAATTATTATTATAATAATTATTATAATAATTATAATAATTATAATAATTATTATAATAATACTAATTTACAGATAATTGAAAGAAACTTCCTTTATGTTTCTAGAACACATTACTATTTGTCAATAATAATAAATGAATAATTTAAAAAAACGAAATATAATTTTTTATGCAAAAAAATAATTTAATCCTATAACAAAAATCTTTTAAAATAAAAAGCATTTTTGCAAAAGCGCAAATAACATACTAAAGAGAGAGAGAGAGAGATTTTCTTTTGCTTAAATAAAAATGTTTCTAAACTAATAAAATTTTTATTAATGAAATTAAAAGTACTTTTTATGTAGAATTTTTTTTTGCAATAAATAAACCTTTCTTTTTAGGTAAAATTATTTTGCCAAATTTTTTTTTTTTTTTTTGTAATAAAGAGATAAAAATAATTATTTTACCTAATGTATTTGTAAAAGAAACATTCTAATGACACTATAAATAATTATTATGTACATATTAAGAAAAAAGTTTTGCTCCAAAAATAGCAAATTTTTTTCTTGGTGAGAGGGAATATAATTTTTTGTTTGTTAATGTAATGACTGTATTAAATAAATAGAAATTAATTTCACTTCCTGATAACATTGCCACTTTATATTATAATGCAAAATATATTTTTTACTATAAAAACAAAAATTTAACTTTGTAATTTTTTTTTAATTTCTTTTTTTTATTCATTCAGTTTTTATTATTTTCTTTCATTCTTACAATTTCTAACTTTTAAATAATTTTTTACTTTATTTTTTACATAAAAAGAATTTTTTCTATATTAAATTTAAAAAAAAAATGAGATTTATTTTTTTTTTTAACTAATATAAAATGGATTTTTGTATAAATAAGTAAGAATTTAGAAAAAAATGTTTTTTAAATATTAAAAACATCTTTTTTTTATATTTTTATACAACCTTATCTTCAAATTTAGTTTCCTATATAACTGTTTATATAAAAAATATTGCATAACAAACTTAAAAAAAAACTTAAAATAATTTGTAGAGCTGTAAAAAGCAATTAGGAAATAATATGGAAAATATTTTCATAAATAAATTTATAATGTATTTATTTTTCTTTTTATTTACATTTTTTTTCGAAATAAAAATTATATTTTTCAAAATTGTATCAATTTTTAGTTTAAATTTTAAAAAAACTTTATAACCTTAAATATTTTTTTAAACAGAAAATTTTTGTTTTTGGGAATTCAGTAAAATTTACCGAGTTTTAACTAGGTCAAAATTTTCCCCAAAAAAAAAAAAAATCAAAGTTGGTTTGAGAGTTTTTTTTTTTATTTTATATGAAACTTGATAAAAATGCATTAGTACATATATGCGATCCATATAGGACTGCGAGAAGTCATTGAATAAACAATGGAAGTTATTGAATAAACAATTACAAGAGAGAAATCTCTGAGGAAAAAATTCTTTTAAAATTTTTAAAATCGTTAAATTTACCAGGCATCAAAATTTGAGGTAGATTTTTTTTTTTTGAAATTGAATATTTTTTATTCATTTGATTTTGGTAAAAAAAAAATTGTGGGTTTTATCGGGTATAAAAGTTTAAAGTAGATTTACTTTAAACTTTGATAAATCTTTTCTTTGAAACTTCCTTCTTGTAAAGTATTATTATTATTATTATTATTATTATTACTAGTAGTAGTAGTAGTAGTAGTGTTTTTAATATTATTATTTTTATTAAATAAATTGTTTGAAAAATTGAAAGACCAACTTCGATTTTTTTTTTTTGGAGAAATTTTGAATTGACTTTTATGTTACATTTTCAGGTGCAACAATTTCAAGTGTTTCTTTTCACAGTGAACCTAATGCATTTTTCAATTTTGTAAAGAATAAATTGAAAAAATAATTCTCAAGTTTTATAATTCTGAAAACTAACTATATTTCTCTTTTGTTTTGTGTGGAATTGACAATTTTCCATTAAGGTCAGATTATCGTTCAAAATCATTTAATTTTCTAAATAAATGAGAGGAAAATTTGTTTTTCCCTAGAAAAAAATGAAAAGATTTTTTTAAAATAATAAAAATTGCTTTAAAAAGCAAACAAAAAAATTTGTCGCAATTATTCATTGAAATTACTTTTGTAACGAAAAAAAGAACAAACAAAAAAAAAAAGAACAGATTTTACAAAAACGAATTTTTTTTTAATGATAATTTGATTACGATAATCTTCCTTAAACAAAGACTTGACCAAATGTACAAGTTTTAAAGCGTCTTGTATAAAAAAAAAAAATTTCATCGTCTTTTTGTGTCATTATTTTTGTAACTTAGGCCATTATAAAAAAATCGATGTAAACATTAAAAATGCATTAGATGCAAGACTGAAAAAACGATGAATCAACTTAGATATATAATATATATAAATTTATATATTCTAAAGGTAGTTTTTTTTATTTTTTTTTTCTTTGGCGGTTTTACCGGGAGTGCCTCACATTTGATTTCGTTGCATACATAACTCGGTAGAATCATCATTTTTGCTCGGACAATGGACGAAGCACATACCCACTGTGAATTATACATATAGGTATGTTTTTAGCAAGAATAACGGCGGAAAATTCACATATCCATATAAGTATCTTCATTCGAGCAAAGAGCGCGCGCGGTGATATAAATTTAGAAAAGAGAAAATAATTTTCTCTTTTTCTTTCTTTTCCATTTTTATTTTCTCATGCGCATTCCGAAAATCATGTCTTTTTCAAAAGTTTTTGGCATTTCATTTTTGAAGCGATTCCCAGTCATTCTTTTGTCCTCTTTCACGCTAGAGACATAAAATCGCCTGAGGTTGTAACGCGTTTGATTGAGTCTCGCTCGAATCTTCTTTTTATCTTCTTTACGATCTTCGGTGCGGTATAAATTTACCTCCATTATATATATATATATATATTTTTTTTTCTCCCTTAAAATTAACCACGATCTAGTTATGAAGTTTTTTTTTCTCCTTTCAGAGTCGTCTTTGTAAACGCACCAAATGACGACGCTATAACGATTTTTTTTTTTAATTAAATCACAACACTCTCATATACACTTGAGAACTTTAATAATTTTTCTCGCGCAGTTCAATCATACACGCAATGCACTGTGTCTTTTTTTTTTATATATAACCATAACAATGAAGAACATATATAATTTTTAAGCACATAGTACGTCCTCTATATCTCTTCACTGCATTTCATTTAAATATAAATCAATATATATATATATATTTTTTTTTTATTTATAAAAACCACGTCGATCAACAATCATCACATAGACTCTCTGTCAATTTTAGTTCTTTAGATTTTTTTTTTATATCTTCTTCACACAATTTTATTCTTCTTCTTCTTTTTTTTTTTTGTTAAGTTTTCTTGACTAGCGTCCCTACCAGACGTGAGTTGAAGTTGTAATTAGACACGTCCCAACTATCTCAGCAATAGATGAATTGAAACCAGGCTACCGAGTAGCACTGCAACAATGGGACAGCAGGCACGACTGTTTTCCGATGTCACTGCAACAATGCGTTATACACTGTGTTAATTTCCATTATCTTTTATGATTTATATATATATATTCAGTTAATTGTAGTTTGTTAATTTATCAATTTATTTCAAATAACAATTTTTTCTATATAATTAATATTTAATAATTTAATAATTAATAATTGTCAACTTTTTTGAATATATTTCACTGTGACATGCAATTAAAATTACATTATTATCCAATGAGTAATTTTACTGGGACAGTAAAAAAATTATTTTTTTTAACTCCTCAAATTAATTACCTAGGAAAAAATTAAATTAATGAGTAAATGAAGAATTTTTTATATTAAAAACAAATTTTTTTTTCTATGAGTAAGAAAAAATGATTATAATCACTTTTTTTAAATCTAAAATTAAAATATATACAATGTATGTCAAAAATTTACTAATGGCGCAGTACTGGCGCAGTACTGACAAATGTTGGCGCAGTACTGGCATCCAGTATTGGCACCAGAGTTGGCGTAATTTTGGGATGATAACATTTTATCAGTATTGGCTGCCAGAGTTGGCATCAGTACTGGTAACCACTACTGGTACAGTACTGGCTGAGTACTGGTAGTTTTGTAATTTATTGTATACGAAAAGAAAGCTTTAACTGTAACAGAGATAAGTTTCACTGCAATAGTGAAATCTCTGCTCCAGGTAATACTTTTTTTTAGGAAAAAGTGTGTGAAATTTTTAGTAACCCAACACAAATTAAATATGAATTAAATTAGTTAACTAACTAATTAATATTTTATTATATATAAAATCGAAAATACCAAGAATTTTTATTCTTTATTAACTATAATATATATTGCAAATTATTATTTTAAAAAATCAAAAAATAAATATAAAAATATGTTTGTTATAAAACCAAAGTTTTTATAATATATATAAAAACAGTTCAGTAAATATAAAAATGTTTATAAAATAATTATAATATATATAATAATACAATTAGCTATTTAATTATTTTATTATTCACTTTAATTATTTGCATCAAAATAAATTTTTGAAAAACTTTTTTATGAAAATAAAAGTTGTTTTTTAATTTTTAACAAGTGTTGTCAAGAAAATTTTTTTAAATTTTTATTTTAAAAATTATTAATTTTTTTATAAAAAATTTTATTTATTTTTAGTTTAATCGTTTCAAAATTTTTTTTTGGTTTATTGCATATCTGAAAACAATAAAAAAAAACTTGCAAAATGTTTTGGAATTAGTCTCAGGAAACTTTTGTTTAAATAATTTTACCCACAATAAAGCAAAATAAAATACCGTTTAATTTTCAAAAAGTAGGGGAATAGTGTCAGGGTTGGACACAGTTTTGGTTTTATGTTTATAAATATTTTGTTTAGATAAATTCAGTCAATTGTGGTATATGGGTGGAAAGATCTACAAAAGAGGAACACTTTTGCTGTGGACCGTAAATTGATTGGTCCAAAATTAAAAAAGTTATAAACATTTAAAAAAAAAAAAAAATCTAGTCAGGGTTGGACTTTTCAGTCAGGGTTGGACACTTTTTGAAAATCGAAACGCATTATTGGTAAAAACGTAAAATAACATTTGTAATGTTTTTTATTCTTATTTTTTCATGTTTATCTTTACTTATTGTTTACAAATTGTAAAGCTTCATGGGTTTAAAAAGGAATGAACTCAAATTATAAAAAATAACGCTTTATTGTTCCAAATAACTCAATGAAATGATGAACAAAATTTATACAATTTAAGTATTATTTTTCTAATATCTTTGGCACAATTTTGCACTGAAATATCAATAAAATAAAATTTATTTATAAATTGTGTGAAATTCATAATTAATATGGGTGTCCAACCCTAACTGTATAAAGTGTCCAACCCTAACTAGAAGCATCATTTTCGAATTGTGCTAACCATAACTAGACATGTGTCGCGATTCGATTTTTCACTTTTTTTCTTCTTAAATTATGTACCCCACAATACATTCAATAAGCTTATCTTGCCGAATTCTTGCTTTTTTTTACACATTTTTAGGTTTATTCACAAGTCAAACAAAACTTTTTTTGTCTCTTCGATTGCACCGAAGTCACAAGAGACGCTACTTTTGATTCTCCAAAAATGTAATGCCACAAAAAGTTAGGTTATACTACTAGAAGATTCGTCACGTACGCACACAGGTGGCGCTAGTGTTCTAATTTAAAAAAAGCCAAGTGTCCAACCCTGACAAGTGTCCAACCCTGACAAGTGTCCAACCCTGACACTATTCCCCTACTGATACAATGAAAATACCAGTACTGGTTTAGTACAGACTGTCCAGCCTTGGCAGTCAATACTGAAGCAGTACTGCGCCAGTAGTTAACTCTGGTATATAATACTGAAATTTTTGGTTGGATGAATATAAAAATAGATAAAAGAAAAGTAAACGAAACATGAGTAAAATTTATTTGTCTCTTTAAAATAATTTGCTCTTTTCAAGTAAACCTTTTGTGAATGTACAGTTTCGAGATGAAGTGCACGAGAAGAGAATGAAGAAACAACATTCAGTGTGTTAAATAATGTTTCCTTGAAAGTTTATCGTGTTTCAACGCAGTAAGCCACTTAAAGTTGGAAAGTGAAAAGCAGCCACATCGAGGAAAATAGGCATTAAACTTCTGAACTTCCATTCCCGGTACTCATTGTCACTATACTTATATATATAACACCTTTACGCGTTAGAAAATACTAACCAGGTGTGTACTACAAGAAGCAGCCAAGATTGTCTTCTTCAGGTAATAATATATTTTTGAAACTTATCTCCTTAGACACTTCAATATATAATCTCAAAAACTCTCTTTCAACTCATAAAATATATTTAGAAATTGTTGAAAAAATTCTTTTTCATATTTATTATTTTCTTTGAATCAGTGACTGACTTCTTGCTATTAAATTAGTTACTTTTTAAGTAATTAAAATATTTAATTAGTTTTTATATGAAATTAAAAATTTTAAACTTAATTTTTTATTTTTTCTCTGAATTTTAGTTTTCTTTTGAGTAATAAAATATAAAATATTTGATGCTTTCAACGTCACATTAAAATTTCGTTTAAAGACATATTTTATATTCCTTTGATAAAAAATAACTAAGTATATTTTGAAGAAAATTAAAGTTTCTGTTGAAAGACTAGAAATTTTCTTATATTTTTTTTTTAAAAATTGTGTACTTTCAATGAAAACGTAATTTTGAAGAAATTACATTCCATTACAGTTTGTATACTGACAAATTAAAAGGGCATTTTTAAAAATGACGCATTTATATATTTTCAAAAATATCTAATTAATATCTTCAAAAAATTTAATATGAATTTTTTTTTTCAATCCCTTTCCAATTTGATACGAGATTATACGTAAACTCAATTCATACAATAATGTAATAATTTGATTTAAAGAAAAATTATGTTAGTTTTCCATTAAGAAATTTGCGATTTAAGAAAAAAAAAAAAAAAAACAATATTTTCGGTGGAAGTTCAGACATAATGGAATATCTAACACATTTATAGAGACTTGGCGAACGACAGGTTGTGTTTACGAGGTAGCTGGTGGTCTTAAAGTTCTTTGGGGTAGAAAAATCGCCACGCTGTTAGAATTATCGGTCGTTCATTTTGGCTCTGGCAGTCGGCGAGCTAGGCCAAAAAAAAAAAAATAGGGGGAATTGAAAGATCTTTTCAGTTCCTTTGTTCAGAAAATGAAAATGCATTTTTATGTAGAGGTACAAAATCCACTTCTACATAAATTAAATCAGAAAAAAAAAAAATTAATTCTCAATTAAAATTAGTAAATTGATATTATTTTCTAAAAATATTTTTAACAAATTGTCCTTGCGGATAATATTAGGCAAATGTAAAAAAATTTCCCCCTTTTTTTTTTTCTAAATCTTACAACAAAATGTCCTTCTGATTGTGTGTGCGAGTATATATCTCGACAGAACACGAATGGTTTTCGATAACGACATTGCATCGATATAAATTGCTTCCAACGAAAGGATTTGCCACGGTATTCATCTTGATGGCTTATGCTGCTTGAAATCTTGGACTCAAACCCCATCGAATAAATCGAACTCTATTATACGTAGATTTTCGACTTTCAGTCTTGGAAAATTGAAGACATCGCGTTTCAGAGATAAAAAGTCTCCTAAAGTGGACTATTTGCGCGCGGCAAAAGAGAGAAGAAATTTCTCTCAGTGCAAAAAAAAAAAATGAAATTTTAGATATTTATCGAATTTTCATCAGATGGAGAAAAAAAGTTCTCTCTCTCTCCCTCTCGAGAAATTGAGATCTATTAGATCTGATTTTATTTATTTAAGTGATATACGAAACCATTCAATATTCTTCAAAGGAAATTATATGCGAAAAGAGGGCAAAAGTTTTGCCTCACAAAAATATCTTGGCATTCTTTCTGTGCAAAAAAAGAAAAAAAAAAAAACTATATATGCCAAACTGCCGAATTTCTTTTATGAACTTACTACGAAAGTATAAGTTTGCAAAACAACAATAAGCAGTTGAAGCACAAGAAATTTAAAGTCTCGAAAACTTTTCTATACGAATGAAAATCCAGAAGAGATGGATGGTATTCAATTTCAAGATGTTATTGTCTGAACTTAAAAATTTTACTTCATTTCAATACTTTTTTTTTTCTCTCTCAACTTTTTCTTTTCACCCCCCCCCAACCCCCGATTTTTATAGATGGAATCTAATTGAATTTATTTTTATTCTTTTCAATAATATTTTAATCGTAACAAATTCAATATTATTTTCTTCGCAGAAAAACATTATTCTTTTTTTCTAATTCGCAAATTTTTTTTTTGCATTATTATTATATATTATGAAAATGAGTGAAAATAATATTGACCCAATTTTTCTCGTATTTCATTTGAGAATAACAATAATTTGACATTTGAATTTTGTTGGAAATCAGTCGTTGGTATAAAAATTATGAAGATAAAAGCAAACAAACTTTTCCATTGAGTATATAATG